AAGACATTTGAAAGTTTTTTATAAAATTATAATGATATGTAAACTAACAAATGATTCTCCAGATCCAATCCACTAAGTTTGTTTAAAAAGGATTTTCAAATATATATATATATAATCTAATTAAGAACCCCTTCCTTCCTTCCTTGAAGTTGCTTCAGTTGATAATATTAAAAGTATTTACGAGTATTACTTATTAATTACACTTGGATATAACGTGATTGCTATCATTCTGTTTCTGACATATAGTGTTGTATATTTTTAATACATAATTATTTAAAAAAGATACCCGCTAGGTTTCTTGTTGGTTATTCAGGACAAAGGTCGTCCTCAAAGCAGTGGTAATAGTAAAATGACTTTAAATGAGTATTACTCGTAACTTATGTTGAATAAAATATTCTGTTTTTATGATAATTATGTGACGTAGCTTATAGACGTGCCATTTACGTGATAACTTTAAACAAAGAAGGCTCCCCTTGCGTCCTTTTAAGGGTTATGATCGGATTATTTTAAATCTGCAATAATAATGGCTCTCGCTCTTTGAACCAATATAAAGCAGTGGATGCACTCCTGTACGACAGCAGAATTAGTTAAGAGTGTAAAACCAACCCAAACGAATTCCAAGTAGAAAAAGAGCTATACCACAGTAAATATTAGTAGTAGTAATTCTAATTAATAATAGTTTTATTACAGTGTCAACGTGGACCGAAACATCTTTATCTAATTCAATAAGAAATTTACCCCTGTCTTATTTATGCACACAACTACGTATAAATCGGGAACACGTCGGTGTTCTAATTGCATTAAGGCACAGACGACGCTTGATCTAATGTAATTGTTTGCGGTCATGGCGTTCGTGACTAGAGGCCGAGCGGGAGCTGGAGAGAAAACGGGTGCGGGTCGAAAAACGAGCAAACTGGAAAAGTTTGATAATACTTCAAATAAGGTTTCTTTATACACAATATCAAATGAAAAAAGATGACAAATAAAAATGATATCAAAACACATATCTGTGTTTTCTTAATAGAAATAATAAAAATACATTGTTTTATTCAATATAGATTATAAATTCGTACAGTACCTTTCTGAAATTATTCTGTCCTGGAAGGAAAGAGCAAGATACACAGGGGAACATTTTTTTATTGACAAGGACTGTTTACAAGCGTGTATTATGTAACACAACAATTAAAAAAATAGTAAAAAAAACAAACAACTCATTAGAAATACCTTGACACGGAGTTTGACCAACTTATTCCTACGTGTTATAGTCATCCATAAGCAACAAAGAATATTTTTTTACGGTTTTATCTAAATATCAATGGTAACAAGTAATAAATATCGTTCGGTTAGATAAATAGTGGCGTTTATATTAGTATAGAAGATAATTCAATAATAATTTTCAAAAATAAAATGATATTTAAGTGTCCTCATAAACAGACAGACAGACAGAGCCAAAACTATAATAAAAAAAGGAATACATTATATTTTGTAGAACAAAAGCAGGTACTGTCTGCTTCTATTTCATAAAATAAACAGTTGATTGTAGGTTGTACTAAAGAAGTTATTGGAAACTTGTCGTCGCAGGTCTAAATTTTATTTTTAAATTGAAATTTTGACATTTCTTTTTTTATTATTTAACAGATTCAAACAACAAACATTGTTACGAGCGAATTAACAAAATGCTTTAATAGAATGACAAAAGTTACTCATACGCCTTTTTTTTTGCGAATGGAAAATCATCTAATGACGCCTTTCGCTCTGGGTGGAGCGTAAGGGAGTGTCAGACTTTTACTGACTAAAAACCATCCGTGTTCCTTCAGTGCCCTTACGTTCCGGAGCCGCGGTATCTCTTTCGAACAGCACGCAGCCCCGGCAGGCGTCGGCCCTTGCGGGCCCCTTCACGAAAAACCGTCGACACCGCCTGTCGTCGTTAGACGGACGGACGGCGAGCTACCCATTGCTCGCCGTCCACAGGCTCGCGCCTACGGTGGCCGGGGGCCACGACGTAGCCCCCGACGCCCGGGGCGTCTCCCGCGGCGGCCGGGGAAAGCTGCTGCTCTCTCCTTCTCCCGCGCTACCACCTCCTTTGCTAGCATCACTGCTTCGCAGAAGGTGGTGACGGCATCCCATTCCGTCTCGCTCCGGACCATGGCTACGACCAGGGCCGGACGCGAGAGGTCGCCGCCGCCTATCGCCGCTACGAGGACACGGCGGTGCTCCGCCCAAGCAGGGCACACCTCCACTGTGTGTTCCACCGTGTCCTCCGGTTCATCCTCGCAGTGGGAGCACCCGGGCGTTATCTTGCCGCCCGATTCGGTGCAGGAACCTCCCGAACACACCGTGTCCGGTGAGGACCTGCGTCAGGCGGAAGGTGAGGATGCCGTGGCGTCTCTCAAGCCACTCCTCAAAGGGGGGTCTTATCGCCGCTATAGTGGCGTGCCCAGCACGGGGTTGCGACAGTCGCTGTCTCCATGTCGCCATGAGATCGTGCTGGAAGTCTGTCCGCTGCGCGACAACTTGCCGCGGCAGCGGGGTTTCCCCCACGGCATAGTGCCTCCGCACGCCATTCGTGCAGGCGCGCGAGGACTATCACCTCCAGATCCCATGGCCGCAATCCGGCAAGGAGGCTCGCCGCCTCGCGGGAGATCGTGCGGTAGCCGCGAACCATTTTCACGGCAATCACCCTTTGGGGCGCGTTCAGGTGGTGGACGGCAAGCCGCGCCAAACCACGCGCCCACATCGGGGCCCCGTAAAGGGCCATGGACCGCACGATCCCTGCGTAGAGCCTCCGGCAGGAGTCGTTTGGCCCTCCCAGGTTCGGCAGGAGCCGCCTGAAGGCAGCCCCGGTCCGTTCCAGTTTGGGAGCCAAACGTCGGTTTGGGAGCCTAACGTCGAGTACTCTCATACGCCTAAAACAATAAATATGTAAGACGAGACATAATTTTTTTTTCAAAGTTTAATTAAAGTTTATATACTGATATATAAATTTATTTCAACGCAATAGAGATATCTCTTCAAAAGTTTACATGATGTTGCTGAATATTCTCCTTTTTCTGAAATATTACAAACTTTATTTTTGTTTATTATGTTTATCTTTATTTAAGTTTTTATTGAAATCTCTAAAAAATTTATTGCTATTAGAGCAAATTCATTAAGCTTGTAAGATGAACTTTATCCATTAGAGATCAGATAATTGTTCGAAACCTATTAATAACCATAATAGTAGTTTCCTAACAAATCATACACCGTACATGAACCATAATTAAAGAAAAACGTTTCAGATATAACTTTAAATATAAATATATCAATATTATTAGTAAGAGTATTAGTATTACCTGAAAAACTGCATAAGTTACTACATTGTCACTGAATCCCGAAAAAATGATGTAGCTTTGGCCGGAAACCGTTTGCTTTAAACGGCCAATACATGAACAGCCAAAATATTGTGAGGAACGTTGTAGTTTATCTGCTGTAGGAGATCAGAACAATCAATATAAAAAAAAATTGAAAATAATTTTGTAATAGAACTGTAGTTTTGATCTAATAGTCTTATATACTTTGAACTATTAATATTGTACAATACCAGCCCCCAATGTACACATATGCATATACGCAAACGCACACACGCAATCTAAGCGCGCTCATAAGAACACGCCCACAGACAAGCGATACACATGCAAACATACAAAGTCTGTAAAATTTGCTCGTAATTGTCACGCATTCACGCAAGCGCAACGATTTAACGTAAACTCATTCATTTACATATTGCAGCCTATCAACACTCAAAGCTGAACATAAGCTTCCTCCACAGGTTCCCTCACCTGCATTTGCCCTAGTTACCACGCTTGGTAGACAGTTGGCCATCACCATTTTTTTTTATTATTTTGAGCTTGTTGTCAGGACGCCCATATCCTTTTCAGTTTCCCTCTGTCGTCTCTTAAGACACCCGCGAGAATCCACTCTTAGTTCAAAATTAATACGCCGTTTTTGTGACGACATCATCTGGACTTTATATTACTTCTAAGAACCAATGCTTTTAGTAGGCCGAAATTTCTGATCTCGTTTATCAAGGAATATTAAAACGAACGTTATTAACTACTTCATAAATAGGAACTTTTTTGCGGAATATTTATTTTAAAGAAATTTCCATTTCAGTTATCTGTCTACATATTTCCCAATTCGTATTGATTAAATCGTGTCTATACATTAATTTTATTACTTGAAAATGTATATTACTAATATTGAAAAAAAAATATTTTTGTAAAAATCTATGATTTATACATAAATCTATAAATATTCTACTTAAGTTCATTCATTAGGTAAAAAGAAACCAGAAAAAGCAAGAAATACAAGATTAATTATCAATATAAAGAACAATTTTGTAGCTAAGAATTATAGTTAAGATAAGACAAAAGAAGATACAACAATGACCCAATACTGAGATCGGAAGATATGTGAATATGAGAGTCCCAGAAAACACAACAAAAAACTCAGAATAATCCTCGGAACGAAACCAGTACGAAATACAACAATGAGCTTTCCGCATAAACTTAACTGAGTATATACATATATATATATATATATATATATATATATATATATATACTCCTTTAAAATAACGCGCGCCTTTCGCGTGAAGTCATTATTCACTTCGTTTCTACTGGTCATCGGTCAGCCGCATACCGTTCACTGCTTTTTTTTGCGCCCGCAAATACGGGCAACCCTTCAACACCGGGTAACCCTTCGGTAACACGGGAGGGAGGTGGTGAATGCTCATAGCATACCATGCAGCCGGCTGCGTGGTTATGTGGATAATTTTACCCACCAAACACCACCTTTTGGGATTGACTGCAACTCTATTTCAGATATATATAATGTCTAGGTATATATAATGTACTCTGTGCCAGAAAACAGCACCTTTTGGGATTGGCTTAACGATCTAACGAGAGATCTTTAAGCCGTAAACGGACGCGATCCTCTTTCGTTAGATCGTTAAGCCAATCATGAAAGGTGATGTTGTCTGGCACAGAGTACATTATATATACCTGGAATAGAGTTGCTAGTCGATTCCGGGGTACAGAGACATCTATAGTGGAGTTGTCGAACTAAACGGATGACATCTATCTATAAATATATTCTATGTATAATACAGCCCCATCCCTGGTGTACTGATTATTTTTAACAAATTTTAAAGATCACATAATTCTGCTTAAATTAGTTGATATGCATCAAAGGTAAATCATAAAAAATAAAACTCAATTTAAAAATAATAACCATCTTCATTCAGAAAATTTACACCCATAACCGGTAAAATCTATGAATTATAAGCAATCTACACAATTTTAGAAATAAATAAATAAATTTGGATCAATCAATAAATTTCATCAAAGTAACAATTTTAAAATAATAAATCCAACAGTCATTATAAGTAGGCAGTAATGATAGTATATAAAATAAATTATTCAAAATAATAATAAATTCAAAATAATAAATAGAAGCGTGCTCGTCGCGACCCCTGCCAGCCCTTTTCAGGGCAGCAATTCTACGCACCCATGCAAATGAGAGTTAGAGCTTCCCCCCAAGGCGACGCACACCAGCTGGTCCCCGTTGGTGTGGAATGCAGCGCGCAAAGCGGCGATGGGGACCGCCACCCGTCACGCACAGCCCGACACGGTGGAAGGTGGAGGACGGAGTGCCGAGTTGGCACGTGGGATGTTAGAGGAAGAGTGAGAGATAAGACGAATGAGTTGATTGAAATAATGAAAGAAAGAGAATTAGATGTCGTGTGTATGTCGGAGACCAAACGGAAAGGCAGTGGTACTGAAGAGCTCCCTGGCGGGACGTTAGCTATATGGTCCGGAGTCCCGGAAAGCGAGAACGCTTGCCAGGGAGTGGGGGTGCTGTTGTCGTCCCGGTTGGTCGATGTTATGACTGAATACAAGGTTGTGAACTCAAGACTTCTCTGGGTTCGCTTTAAACTGAGACTGACGAAGTTATTCATTTTGGCTGTTTATGCGCCGGTAGCTTCATCGTCCAGAGCTGAGCTGGAAGAGTTTTGGGAGAATGTAAGAGAAGTTCTAGATTTGGTTAAGGGAAACGAAAGAACTGTTGTATGTGGTGATTTGAATGGATGGGTAGGTATCGCTCGACCAGGATACGAGTCGGTGCTTGGAAAGTTTGGCAATAAAAGGGTTAATGATGCTGGCAAGCTTATACTGGCTGTATGCAAGGAAAAGTGTCTTCTTGTGACGAACACTATGTTTAATCACAGGAAAATCCATATGTACACTAGAGAAAGAAAGAATGAGAGAAGTATGATTGATTTGTTCCTGGTGGATGACCGACTGCTAAAACAGGTGATGGATACACGATTGTTCAGGGGTGCTGACCTAGGAACGGATCACTATCTAGTAATTACTAGATTTACGGGTTTGTTCACGGGTTGGCGCTACCGGACGGCAGTAACAGAACCGCAATCGGTCTGTCGCATCCGAAGCTGGAAGCTTCAGGAAGCGGATACTAGGGACAAATATCACACGAGGGTAGCCGAAAAGCTTGACACCATCGATGGTAGGAAAGAATATGTGGAGAGAACATGTCAGAACCTTAGGGATGGAATGGTAAGTGCAGCAGAAGAAGTATGTGGAACGACAAAAAGAGGTAGTAGTAAAAGAAGAGATGCATGGTGGAATGATGAAGTTAGAGAAGCTGTAAAAAAAGAAGAAAAAAGCATGGTTAGACTACTTGGCCTCTAGTAACGATAAGCATATGAGAGAGAAGATGAAAGAAAGATATAAGCTGCTGAAATTTCATGCGAAAACATTGATTGAGGAAGTACGTGAAAGGTGTATAATAGAAGCGGACGAGAGGTTGTCGCACAACTTTAAGGAAAACTCCAAACTCTTCTGAAAAGAGGTTGGAAGGTCTCGGAGTGGTGCGACAGCCTTAAGAATGAACAAAGTGCTTTCGAGAACCAATGACGTCCTCTCAGAAAAGTCGGACGTCATGCAGCGATGGAGTGAATTTTATAGAGAAATGTATGCGTGTCATGATCTTAGTGAAAGATCCGGGGGTGACGCCATGACTGGCACGCCAGATACGGACCTCGATGACACTGAGGTCATCAACATGAAAGAGATTGAACGTACGATTCGAAGTTTGAAATGTGGTAATGCTGCGGGACTAGACAGAGTTACTGCTGAAATGGTCAAGTACGGTACAAGCTCGCGTCTGGGACAGCTTTCATCTGCTGTGCAATTTGTGCTGGCGGACGGGAGATGTCCCGGATGATTGGCAATCCGCGGTCATTGTGCCTTTATATAAAGGTAAAGGTTCACATTTTGACTGCGGGTGCTATCGGGCGATCAGCTTGACCAGTTTAGCAAGTAAAGTTTACTCGAAGGCTTTGACACGTAGGAGCAAGTGAAATCATGGGAGGCACAATGCGGATTTAGACCTGGAAGAGGATGCACGGATCAAATGTTTTCTCTCCGTATGATCACGGAAAAGCTTCTGAGTGTTAACCAGAGGATTTTCTGTGCTTTTGTGGATCTGGAGAAAGCAATTGATAAGGTTATAAGGAAGAAAATGTGGGAACTGTTGCCGGGATATGGTGTGGATGGTCGATTGTTAAGGGCTGTGCAGTCACTTTACTATGACTGTAAAGCCTATGTGCGGGTAGGGCATGACCTGTCACCCATGTTTAGCGTCCAAGCGGGCGTAAAACAGGGTTGTGTCATGTCTTCCTGGCTGTTCATACTGTATCTCGACAGCCGTTTACAGAAGCTGAAAAATAGCTATTTGGGTGTGAAATTGGGTGACATTAAAGTAAATTGTCTGCTGTATGCTGATGATGCAGAACTGCAGGCATTAGTCACGTATATGAAAGAGGAATGTGAAATTAAAAGTCTCCGTTTGAATGCTAATAAAACTAAGGTTTTGGTATTTGAAAAGGACGAAGAGAGAACGAAATGTGAAATATGGGTAAATCAGGAATGTCTAGAACAGGTAAATGAAATTGTATACTTGGGGAGTGCTTTCAGCCGGGATGGAAGATGTGATTTAGATGTGGATAGGCGTGTCGCTGCCGGAAACAAAGTCAATGGTGCCCAGAATGCATTAGTCAAAAGACAAGGCGTGGTGACGAGTGCACGCCTTGCAATATATAACGCAGTGTTGGTACCGACTTTGTTATATGGCAGCGAAACCTGGGTAATGCCAGGAGAAGCACAAAAGCAAGTTGAATGCAGTGGAAATGCGATCTTTTCATAAAATGTGTGGCGTTACCATAGCCGATCGAAAGCGAAACGAAGAGATTCGCAATATGGCAGGATTGAAAGATGACCTTATCACAAAAATTGATAGGGGCGTACTCCGATGGTTTGGGCACGTTGAGCGAATGAGTGAAGACCGAATGGTAAAGAAAATATATAGCGCGAAAGTAAATATTAAAAGGTGTCGAGGTAGACCGAGACTAACTTTCGAAGAGCATGTGAGCAAATTGCTCGAAGATTTTTTTGAGTGTACGCCAGTTGTATATTCTATCCGCAGTCTTAAAAACCCATGGGCAAGTAATTCAGTCGCCTAATTACGACAACCTAATCACTAAACGAATATTTAAAATCCCAATTCCGGCTGCCAGGTCTGTTTTCGCGCAACGTCTTCCACAGTTCTCACATCCTCATATTTATAACAAAATACTTAAAGTCTGTGACATCGAAAATTGCACCACTTTGAAAGCTAAAGATATAGTAAAAAGATTTCTCACCACACTAAATTATAATGATACCGAAAACTTAATATTAAAGCAAAAATAATACCAAATTATATCTACGTTTCACACTAAAATATTGTATTCATATTTTTCCTAGGAATAAAAAATAAATATTAATATAAGCGACAAATACTCAAAAACTATCTTCCTAAATTAAGAAATAATTTGTTGTTCTGTATAATTTTGGGTACTTTTAATTACGTAAGTAAAACTGATAACCGTACTCCTGGTCCCCAAGATACAGGCTATGCCTAGTTTGGGGCCCGCCAGTACCTTTTTTATATGTAATAAGAATTTATATGTAATTTAGTATTTAATTTAATATAATATAAGTTAAAATTAATTTAATATAAGTCACTTTTTTCCCAATGTTCAGGTCTGTAGCTCTATTTCTAGGAATAAATGATTTTTATTTTTATTTTTTTTATTTTTAAGAGGGGAAGGTCAAGAGTACTCGGATACCTAGACGTGCATGTATGAAGAAGTTAATGAAACTGAAAGAAGCGAAAGAGGTATGTAAGGATCGTGATACTTGGCGATTTGTTCTCTCTGGTTACCCCGTTAGGAATTGTGCGTGAAGATAAGTAGTAAGTAGTAATTCAAAATAAAATAAAATAAAATAAAATAAAATTTAGTTTATTTACCTAAGATCTTGTTATTCAAAATAATAAAGCAACTTATCTTCTACACAAAAGTTATAAGAAAAAAAATATAAGATGCACAAATTACAAAAAAATTTGTACAATAGACAAAAAATTGGCAATTTAAAAAAAATTAAATATCCAATATCTTGAAAACGGTTAAGTTTGATGTATGATGTTTCATATTCGAAACAGTCGGTAATGACGCAAACTACAACCCCCTAAAGGATCTAGGTCGACTTGACCTGTAACTCTGTGTATATATTTCAATATTTATCTACTATGTTCCACTTGGCACGAACATTTGATGTTCCCTGGTCACATACAGTAGCAAGGACTTTAAAGCCAGACTCCTTCAATTTTTTTATATTTCTCTTAATCATTAAGGCTAATTCAGCTTTTTTTTTGAACTGCCAGCACAAAATGAATCGGCTGTTTATAGTTTTTTAGAATACCTCTATTCTAATTTCTGTCCTCGCTACATCACCATTATCAACTAAACCAGTAATCCTGTCATTTTTACTGTCATAATCAATATGTGGTATTAAGGCCATTTCATCAAAAACCAGTGTACACAATTTATCATCGCCTTTCATTTTATTAAATTATTTCATTATATTAAATTGTTGCTTGTTTATTGATTCCTTTAGTGATGATTCAAAAGTTAGTACAAAACGCGTATCAATATCAATAAATCAATATCAATAATCAATATCAATAAATCAATATCAATAAAAAACAATATCAATTTCCGATATTGCAACTCGAAGCGCTCTTCTAAACTGTTTATATTCAAACGTCAAATACCAACTTGCAATCTGCAAGTTGGTATTTGTATACAATGAACTGCAAGTGTCACCAATGGTCAGTGGCAGCCGCATCAAATCTCTTCAATATTTACATTCGACGCATCGAAGGCTGCCTTCGTTATTGTCGATGGATTCGATTATCTCTGCTGTCATTCAATTAAAATCCGTCTCTACACGGTTCAGGACATTATATTTTTGTAGTATTAGAGTATTGAACAATATATTTTCGCACTTAACCTTGTAAAAGTAACATAGATTACAAAACGATAACGTCGTTTCAATCACAGTTTCGTAAAATTCGAATTTAAATAACGATTTCGTAAAATTAGTATCTTTCGTTTCACTGCTTTTTTCGGTTAAATTTGAATTGTGAGCTTAGGTAAAATAAACACTACTATGTCTGATATCTTTGAAGTGCAAAATATCTAATTCATGAAAAGTATATCTTATTCTGAATAAAGGATAAACCAATAATATATTTTTTCTTTTTTCGCAGATGCTATAGCCTTGCGAGACGTGCAGCTTATAGCCCCATCAGCAGTCAGACTTGGAGATACAGTGCTACTTGGTTGCAAATGGACATTGGAAGGAAACGAGACCCTGTACAGTGTAAAGTGGTACCGAGGACGACAAGAATTTTTCAGTTATCTCCCTAAGGAATATCCGTATACTAGGATATTTGCGCAACCCGGGATTGATGTCGACGTAAGTGGACTGATATCTTTCATTTTTACTTAATATAAGATAATGAATGTAGCGTTACAGGTTTGAATCCAAACTTTCTCTTATTTAAAAGCTTAAAAGTTTAAAGTGCAGAGTAAACAGACCTTTGGGTGGACAAAGTCTTATGAGTTCGCGTAAAGCAGTTAAGTTTATAAAAATTCATGTAAATGCAAATATTAGGTCCTTACATATGAAATTGGCGTTTTGTACGGGAGAAATAAAAAGTCATTTTTTTGTAAAATATATTTAATTAATCAATGTATGTTGTTATCAATGCACTTTTGACATCTCATAGGTGAACTACCTATGAGATTATATATATTGATCCCTTTACTAAAAAAAACCATGGGGGCGAGAATCAGTAAACTCTTTGAAGGCGGTTTGGACTGCTGCATCGGAGTTGAACTTTTTTCCTTGTAAGAAGTTGTCCAAATTCCGGAAAAATGGTAATCTGTTGGAGCAAGGTCCGGGGGGGTCAACTTATTGGTTGTTTGTTGTGCAGTGTGTGGTCTTACGTTGTCGTGAAGCAGCAGTGGCCTAGAGCGATTGACTAATATCTGTTGTTTTGTAGCTAGTTCTTTCTTCATGGTTTACAGTTGCTGACAATATATATCTGCCGTAATCGTTTGGCCAGATTTTAGAAAGCTGTAGTGAACGACACCGGCGCTAGTCCACCAAACACTCACAAGTAACTTTTTCTGAGTCGATTTTCGCTTAGGGCAGGATTTGGCTGGATGTCCAGAGTTCAGCCAATGCGACGAGCGCTTCCGATTATTGTACAGTATCAACGTTTCATTACAAGTAATGATTCGATTTAAAATCCTTTCATTTTTGTGTCGGTTGAGCAAAGTAACACAGCAGTCGACGCGTGTTTGCTAGTTCGATTCACTCAATTCATGAGGTACCCATCGTTCAAGTTTTTTTTTTTACTTTCCCGATTTATTTCAAGTGGAATATTACTATTTTATTACTAACCCCGAAGCCTGCAGCTATCTCTGATGTGCTTTGTGATGGATCCGCTTCCACAATAGCCTTTAATTCTTCATTATACATTTGGTCTCCGGCCGTCTACGGGGTTGGTCCTGAAGGTGAAATTTCCAGAACGAAAACGTTGAATCCAAAAACGTACCGTGCTTTCTTTTGCGACACCAGTGCCGTACACATTATTAATCCTTCGAGCTGTTTCTGCAGCACTGGTGCCACGGTAGAACTCGTACTCGTAAATATTTTTCATGTTTTCCACGGTAATAAGCGACGCCAAAGAAAAAACTGATGAGGAAAAAACAAATGAATGACTGTTTTCAAAACTCAAATGTACCAGCTAAATTAATTTATAAATTTGAATTTGGAATTCTTGACCAAAGAAGAGATTTTTCAAATCAAAGATGTCATTACGACAAAACGCTAATTTCATATGTAAGGACATAATACTATGTATAAGTAATATAAATGTATATTATATACTGATTCAATTAATTTTTGCTTATATTTTGCACTCGCTGGCCATCATATTATGTTCTGATTTATAATTAAACCGTATCAAAATTAATTTTCCTTTTTTAATTAATTGTCGCTCAGAGTGTCAAAAGATGCTATACAAATTATATAATCCTAATTTTTGATAGTATAACTAAATTTGAAATTCCAAACTTAACCTGCTGTTATTTCCATGCCATTTATTTTTTAAACATGACACAGATTTATAAAATATTAATATTATAAAATGTAACACTTTAAAAAAAAACTTTGAAAAATAATAGTAAAGTTTACAAATATATTTCTATTACTGCTGCGTAATGGTTAACCTAACCTGATGGTCTTGGTATACAGTAAACACGCTTTTATTGGTCGTTAACGCACTTTCCATGTTTATTGTCAACCATTGTTAGGAAGATTCGCTTTATGATCAACATTAAAAACCTTCGGCTTTATATGAAACGAAAATAAGTAATAGCCGACTATATTTTATTGCTTTCGCTATATTTTAGCTGTCTTAAAAATTCTCACTTTGTCGATACAGCTCAATAAAACAATAATACACTACAGTGAGTTAACTATACCTCACAATTTAACACTCGATTAAAAAGAAGTGCCTAAGTATGGAATTGTGTTAACTCTTCTTTTCAATCGTCAGATAAATGATTAAATTACTATCAAGTATTCGTAGGATAAAACAAAAAATAGACATATTTTTATATATAATGATTTCTTATATTTACGCGAACACTACACATTTAAATAATACTAGTTTTTACGGATTTTATCGCCTGTATTAACTTTTTATATACACCCGACTTTTCGATCATTTTCTCACTTATTTACACGTATGAAACTGAGACGTGGTCCTTCAGAGCTGGCTGCATGAGGACGCTCATGTCACTCAGTGAGCTATGGAGAAAGCTATGCTTTCTAATTTTATCACGCAGAGACCCTAAGTCTCTCTACGTGATAAAATTAGAAATGAGGATATCTACAGTAGAACCAGAGTGACCAACATAGACTAACAGATTAGTAAGCTGAAGCGGCAATGGGCCGGCCTTATAGCTCGAAGAACCGACAACCGATAAGGAAAAAGCTTGGCAGTGGCAGCCTCGTACCGGTAAGTTTAGGGCGACCTCCCACTAGATGGAGTGACGACCTGGTAAGACACGCGGGGAGTCGATGGATGCAGGTGGCTCAGGACCGTACTTTATGGTATTCCTTGGGTAAGCTTATGATCAGCAGTGTATTGGTGAAGGGCTGTAATGATGATAATGATGATAGAACAGCACAGACAGGGGCAATGTGTGAACATTATTTTTAAACATGTTGACAGATTAATAATCATACCCCAAAATACTAATAAAGCGAAAATGACTGTAACTGTGATTGTAACATGTATATCTGTATTATAATTCAATAATAGGGAAATAAGATGTGTTAACCTGAATTTGTAATGATAAAAAATACATGGATAATGTAATAAATGCATTTACTATCTTTAATCATCATAATATAGAGAGCACAAAGAAACAAGAACAGTGTACACTAGTCATCGCGCTGCCCCGCCGATTTGAATACGTAGATTAACCTCTCAGCCGAAATCAGACTTACCTAGTCGGTCTAATTGTCCCGGGTAAACATATTCACCAAAAACTTTGAACTTAGTGCTTCCAACAACTACTGGTATGGACGTTACACAAGATCTTCTGCAGGCTGCCGCCGTGTTTGGCACTATAGATCAGCCGATTGGGATGGGATGCGGTCTTTCTTTGCATCCTACCCTTGGGGGCGGGTTTGCTTCTCGACGGACGATCCCAACGTTGTTGCGGATTCTGTCGCTGATGTGGTACTTCAGGGTATGGAACTTTTTATTCCTTCCTCTGTGGTGCCCATTGGAGGCATTGGAGGTTTGGTCGCTCCTGTAAAATAGCATCATGCTATAAGCAGGAGTGCTACCAAGCCTGGGCTGACGCATCAACGTCCCGGGATGTAAACACCAGCGCTCTATAAGAGAAGTATAATTCCGCCTCTAGGTCTTTCAAAAGAATCATTGCCAAGGCAAAGTCAGAGCACATAGACAGAATTGGCGAGAAACTAGTTCGCCTTCCTTATGGAACCCGTACATTCTTGTCTTTTGCTAAGGCTGTCTAGGGAAATTTCTGTCAGCCATCTCATCCATATCTGCACAGGGAGGACGACTCGCTGGCCCACATCGCAAAGGAGAAAGCGATCGACGATCTGCTAGGCTCTTTCTTTGCATCCAACTCGACTCTCGATGACGGGGGGAGTCCGCCGCCGACCAACCAGCGGTGTGAGTACTTCATGCCGGAAGTACAGTTCACACAGCGCTCGGTTCGCAAAGCACTCCTCTCCCTAGACATCCACAAGTCGAGAGGGCCTGACGGAATCCCCCCAATTGTGCTGAGGACGTGTGCGCCAGAGTTGGCACCGGTTTTAACGCGTCTTTTCCAGTACTCCTACTCCCTAGGCGTAGTCCCAAAATCATGGAAGACGGCTTTCGTCCACCCGATCCCTAAAAAGGCAATCGCTCAGACCCGTCCAACTACCGGCCTGTCGCCATCACCTCCTTGTTCTCAAAAACAATGGAGTCTATTGTTAACTGCCAGCTCATGAGGTACCTTTAGGACCACCAGCTGATTAGTGATCGCCCATACGGTTTTTGCCGTAGTCGGTCAGCTGGTGATCTTCTGGTCTACCTAACTCATGGATGGGCGCAGGCAGTAGAATCCAAGGGGGAGACATTGGCCGTTAGTTTGGACATTGCGAAGGCCTTCGATCGGGTTTGGCACAAAGCGCTTCTTTCGGAGCTCCCTTCCTATGGGCTTCCCGAGAAACTGTGCGATTGGATCACCAGATTTCTTGCAGATCTAGAGCATCGAGGTCGTTGTAGACGGTGCAAGCTCCGATTACAAGTCTATTAATGCTGGTGTTCCACAAGGCTGCGTGCTATCGCCAACGCTGTTTCTTCTGCATATCAATGATATGTTGCAAGCCTGTAACATTCATTGCTACGCAGATGACAGCACTGGTGATGGTCTTTACACCGGCCGTGCCAACGTAAACAACATACAACGTAAACAACGTAAAAAGATATGAAATTTTTCGTATTTCTTAAGACAAAATGGATAAAAATTATTCACCTCGCGTAAAATCCACATACAAGTTGGTGCCTGGCGTACATAATATGCACTCTGCATTTACTCAGAAAACGCACATTGCGGTGTAATAAATTGATTATTTGGTGGGTATGCTTTCATACATATTTACTTTAGTATTTGGAGTGTACTGTTCTTGCAGATCCCATTTCATAAAGTTATATATATATATAAATACGAGAAAATAATAAAATAATACCGTCACGTTGTGAAAAAAAAAAACAAAAAAAAATGATGTTGTTCTACGACAATAAATAAGTAGCGACTGGGAACACGATAAAATATTCGATTTCTTGCTGGTATCGATACTTTTGCTTCGATGCA